AATAGGACCCCTTTAAGAATAGCTAATATTAAAATAATGAGTGATTTAAATTGTGAAGAAAATAGTCTTTTTGCTCTATTTCGCAAAAAAACGGTTCTAAACAAAGCCATGTTGTGCATCTCTTCACACAGCAGTTTCATTCCAGAATTAATTTATTTTTATAAAACATAAAAACAGTTTCTTTCTTAGTTCCTGAATGAATCAGCAGTTTTTAACGAATCGATTTAATAAATGACTCAACGACTTTAAATATTAATTAAAACAATTTCATATTTATGCAATTTGTAAGTGCAGATTATAATTAATTATACTTGTCTCTTTAAAAATAAAAAATTAAGCCACTTAGCCAATGTAACTTAGCATAGCCTATTTTATTTGAAGTGTATCCCGTGTATTCTGATACATGCATTAAGGTTTCTGGGCTAAGCCCCGGATATCCACTCACCGTAGAACTGCCCCTGGAATCAAACCCATTATTTCAACACTTTGCTCTACTGATTGAGAATGCATTGTAAAAAATGGAGCTTTAATAATTTGAATATGATGGATTATCAACTAATTATGTACCTTCCTTGTAGGTGCGTTCAGATGTAGTATATAACATTTTTCTATTAACGTCAAAGTGCATACAGCACCAACAAGTTTGACAGTCAAGGCAAATTCTGTAAACACTGCTTTGATAAATAATTTTTTTTTTCCTTGTGCTTGCAGGTTCATTCAGACAGTCACCATTTGTGGCACCAAATGCATTGAAAGTCACAGATCAGCTGGAATTTTGGAAATCCCATCCTGCTGTTTTTCATCGGAGAGCTTGTCAACTTTGACTGTCAAAATGACTCAGACGGTCAACATTTGTGGCACCAAATGCATTGAAAGTCACAGATCAGCTGGAATTCTGGAAAAAGGGTGCAGCCTGAATCCCATCCTGCTGTTTCTCATCGGAGAGCTTGTCAACTTTGACTGTCAAAATGACTGAAATTTAACAACACCACAAACTCATTTGTACTGTATTTTATTTACACTACCAGTCAAAAGTAATTGAACGGTAAGATTTTTAATGTTTCTTAAAGAAGTCTCTTCTGCTCACCAAGCCTGCATTTATTTGATCCAAAGTACAGCAAAAACAGTACAATTTTGAAATATTTTTACTATTTAAAATAACTGTTTTGTATTTGAATATATTTTAAAATGTAATTTATTCCTGTGATCAAAGCAGAACTTTTAGCATCATTACTCCAGTCACATGATCCTTCAGAAATCATTCTAATATTCTGATTTGCTGCTCAAAAAACTATTATTATTGTTGTTATGTTTAAAACAGCTGAGTAGATTTTTTTCAGGTTTCTTTGATAAATAGAAAGTTAAGAAGAACAGCATTTATCTGAAATAGAAATCTTTTGTAACATTCTAAATGTCTTTATCATCACTTTTGATCAATTTAAAGCATCCTTGCTAAATAAAAGTAGTAATTTCTATCATTTCTTTCCCAAAGAAAAAAATTATACTGACTCCAAGCTTTTGAATGGTATAGTGTATAATGTTACAAAAGCTTTTTATTTCAGATAAATGCTGATTTTTGGAACTATTCATCAAAGAATCCTGAAAAAATGTACTCCACTGTTTTAAATATTAATAATAATAATATCAAAACATGTTTATCAGCATATTAGAATGATTTCTGAAGTATTATGTGACACTGAAGACTGGAGTGATGATGCTGAAAATTCAGCTTTGATCACAGCAATAAATTACATGTTAACATATATTCAAATAGAAATCTGTTATTTTTTGTAAAAATGTCTCACAATATTACTGCTTTTGCTGTATTTTGAATCAAATAATTGCAGGCTTGGTGAGCAGAAGAGACTTTAAAAACATTAAAAATCTTACTGTTCAAAAACATTTGACTGGTAGTGTACTTGCTAATTTTTGCTTTTCAGTATGTGTATGTTTTTCCATGATAAAGTCCCCAGGGGACTGTGGTGATGCCCCTTTTTTTTTAAAGCTAGTGCATCTGAGAGGTCAAGCTTTGTAATTTGTACTTTTAAAAAGAAAATGTTCAACAATTAAAAATCATATTATCAGAACTAAAGCTCATGGAGTTATTGTGATTTTTATTTGGGGGGGGGGGCTGGGATGGTAAAAATAATAGTTTACAGTGCAGTACTACAATTGGATTGTTTTTACAGGTAAAAAAAAATGATTAAACTAAATGAAAATAATATCTACAGTACTGATACTGTAAATGAAAATACGGTGAAAATACAGTAATAACTGTAAATAAAATACAGTAAAGACATTATTTTACTGTAAATGCCATTACAGTAATAATACTATAAACATACTGGCGAAAGAAGGAAAGGAAGATTACAAAAAGTTGAGATAGAGAAAGAAACTGAATGGTTCTGTAAAGAACCTTTTAAGCACCTTTATTTTTAAGAGTGTATGTCTTCCACACTTTCAGTCGGTTTTTCTTAATTAGTAAAATGCAACTTTATAGGAGGAGTTGAGTCATGTAGACAACAGGTTAACTAAAAATATTAATATGCAATAGCGCATTTCGTTATGAATTTTGAATAATTTTAAAGCTGGTACTTTGTTTATTAAAAAGTAACAATTACTGGATTGCGAATTTGCGATTACTGGACAGCAATGCACTTCAAATCATATGTTCATGCATTAATAGAACACAGCATAGACTAAGATCTTGATAAGAAGAAGCCACATTAGTAATGATTATAAACGAGAATTGTTAACGATATTGCCAATATCCACACAGCTGACAGCTTTACCCGTTGTAGTTTGTTCAAGTTATAAGTCACAAAATAGCTGCTGTGCTGCAGATGAGGACTGTTTGAAACAATTTTTTCCACTAAAACTTTGATGCGCATCGTCTAAGTTTAATATGTCAACATAACAAAAGATGTGATCGCAAAACAATCAGGAAAAAAGGCATTACATGCTAATTTTTAAATTATAACATGTAAATATATATAGTTACCAGTGGCGACCTCAGCAAAAACTTCACTCGCAAAGTAATATTTTTGGTCGCAGTCTGGAGCCCTGCTTTAAGAAGTTCAATCTTTCATCAACTTCACACGAGGAGCGAGGTGCAAATACCCAGCAAACTGCTTCTCACTGCCAGTGGTTTTAGAGGACAACCTAAAGCAAGGTGACTGATTCGAATCTTTGGCGCGGCTTCATTCATTATAAGGAGACGTGAAATGCTTGGTGTTCCCTCCCTGCTTCATTGTAACACTTTCGTGTGTAGACAATGATTCTCAGAATGAAGACACAGCCGCTATTGTTGAGTATTGCTCTTGTGTTGAAACTGGAATCAACAAGATGTGTGAATCATTTGAAAGTGGCTGCTATTAGGGGAGAGCGGGGCACAAAGTAACACTTTCATTAAAATGTATTAAAGTAAATAGTGTGAATTACATCACTAATGTCATAGAATAGCACGGCAGGGCACACTGTAACACAGTGTTACAAAGTGCCCCATCTGCGCAACTGGAATTTAAAACCGGGTACTGTCTTCTGATAGTTAGCGAAGCGTTAAAAAATAATTTAAACTAATAAATAACAGATTGGAGATTAAAATAATAGCAGATGTGTTTCATTTTAAATGAGTAATAAAAACTGAGATGAAAAATTTACTTTAGCCAGAAATATAATTTTACTATGGTAAAATAAATGTTCAGCGATAGCTTCAAAAGACTTTTGAATTTTGGCTCACTTTTTTTCTCTCTATATAATGTTGATATAGTAACTAGTAAATGTTGTAAATTTGGTTATGCATGTGTCGAAATATTTAAACCACGTGCGTTACAACTAACCCTGGTTACTTTGTGCCCCGCGCTCCCCTATTGCAGCTGACCACTAGATGTCACTGGTAGGGTCTGTCTTTAAATCTTTTTTGGTACAATCAGGGGAAAAGACTCAAAAGCTTCACAAGGCTTCATCTGCCCATCTCTAATATCTATATTGTACAGCTTAGGTTAGTTCAAATAGAATATGTGCAATTAATTTGACGATATTGCCAGAAATTGTGTCCCTAAAAAAGCAAGCATAAGGTGACAGTGGCAAGGATTGGTGACAGAAATGAAGGGGAAAAAAACACTTGTGAGAGAGCAGGCTCAGTGTCGGGGGTCAGTTTTCCTCTGGCCAGAATTTGGATTGTGTGAAGCTGAAAAACTCACCAGCTCTTCTTGCACAGATGATCTGAAGAAGAATCACAGCAGGAGCAGCAAACACTGCAAACTCAACAATAATCACAATCACTGCAGGACAGATGATAGACAAAAATCAATCTGTGAAACGATTGAAATGAAAGGAATAAAAATGATGAACAATTCTTGACAAAGCACTGCAGATTGACTGTTTCAGTATTAATGAACTGCAGGTAAAGATGTGTGGTAGCTCTGAATAATGATCCAGCAGTCCTACTGATTCAGTTTCTGCTGGATCTGTGATCATGTCTGTTAGTTCAGTTCAAATATAATGCAACATATAAACAAATCATCATCACATCAAACTTGAGCTTCACATCACAGAAATGATGAATGAACTTCCACTGCTTCATGAGTCCATCATCTATTATCATGTTATTTCAATCTCAAGGTGTCAGGAGAAACATTTACCGTCCGAATAGGGCTTTTGAGTTGATCTGAATCTCACAGTACAAGTGATACATATGCATTGTAAGACTTATAAAACTCACATGAAATTCATAAGAAAACATTAGTATTTATAAAATGAAGCAAAATGATATACAAGAATACAACTTTGTGACATTGTTCTTTGGGGAGGAACTCCATCTTTGAGTTGATCTGAATCTCACAGTTGAATCTGCTGGTTTTGAAGATGAAGATGAACTTTATTCACTGTGAAAACTTCAGATAGTTGCTTGTAATGTCTGGTTAGGACAGATTTATCCAGATGATATTTTATTGCTTGATGCATTATTGCAGCATCAGATCTGAAGATGATCTACTTACTGTGAATGTTTTTTGTATGACTGTGTAGAGAAGATGAATGATTGAAACACTTCCCACATGCAGTGCAGTGATACGGTTTCTCTCCAGTGTGGATCCTCTCATGTGTTTTCAGATGTGATGACTGACTGAATGTCTTGTCACAGTGTGAACACTTGTGTGGTTTCTCTCTAGTGTGGATCCTCTCATGTCTTTTCCGACTTGCTGAATCACTGAATCTCTTGTCACAGTGTGAACACTTGTAAGGTTTTTCTCCAGTGTGGATCCTCTCGTGCCGTTTTAAACACTTTGCTGAAATAAAAGTCTTTTCACACTCAAAGCACATGTACTCTCTCACACCAGTATGTATTTTCTGATGTACTTTTACATTTTGTAGACATGAAAAGCTCTTTCCACACAAATGGCATGAATGTGGCTTCTCCTTTGAATGTACTTTCAGGTGATTCTTCAGGACAGAAGTCCTCAAAAATGTTTTGTTGCATTGATCACATGTGTAAAGCTTCTCTCTAGTGTGGATGTTCATGTGATACATAAGGTTTGATGATCGTGTGAAACTCTTTCCACATTGATCACAAGTGAACGGCTTCTCTCCAGTATGAACCCTTAAATGCTCTGTAAGGTGTTTTTTTAATGTGAAACTCTTTCCGCACTGATCACATGTGTATGGTTTCTCTCCAGGGTGGATCCTCTCATGTGTTTTCAGGGTTCCTGACCGACTGAATCTCTTGTCACAGTGTGTACACTTGTGTGGTTTCTCTCTAGTGTGGATGTTCATGTGTATCTTAAGGCTTGATGATTGTGCAAAACTCTTCCCGCACTGATCACATGTGAATGGTTTCACTCCAGTGTGAACTCTCATGTGAAGCACAAGATGATTTTTGAATGAGAAACTCTTTCCACACTGACAGCAGGTGAAAGATTTATTGGCTCTTCTTTTCTTTAAATCTTTCTCTTTGTTTTGAGGGCGACTCAAGGGTTTTTCTCCAGTTTTGACATGATTTTTCTCCTCAACTTCACTCAGTTCTTCACTCTCCTTGTTTTTTTCAATCATCCCTGAAATAAAAGAACGGTTTATTTTCAGTAAAGTAAATCTAAATCTGCTTGAAGCTTTATAACTGTCAGCATTGTTAATGAAGATTCAGGGTTCATCATCAGAGTTTCTGCAGGATTTTAAAGCTCAAATTTAAGACCTTTTTAAGACCTTTTCAACCCCTTAACTGTCACTCACATTTTTGAACATAGATTTATAATTCATGAACGAAAATATTTTGTAACTTGATATTGATGTACCACTGTCATGGTAATGCAATGTTTGATTTTAAAATGTGTTTCTAAGGATGAATTTTGAGATTTAAAGTTTTCAATTGATATATAATTTCTGATAATTTCTAAAGTGTGATAGAGAAAAAGGCAACAAAGAAGACTTTTTTTTGACAAAGGTCAGAACTCCTGTTATGATGTAGATTTTGGAGGTGCACTCTTGTCAAAAATTAATCTGTTACTTTTTCTACATGATTTTTAACAAAAACATTGGCATAAAAAGTAATGCGTTACTTTACTAGTTACTTGAAAAAAGTAATCTGATTACGTAACTCGCGTTACTTGTAATGCGTTACCCCCAACACTGTTTAGGAGTCTTTATTTAGTGGTCTGTGTGGGTCCTAACGCCCCAGTATAGTGACGGGGACACTATACTGTCAACAAGCACCGTCCTTCGGATGAGACGTTAAACCGAGGTCCTGACTCTCTGTGGTCATTAAAAATCCCAGGATGTCTTTCGAAAAGAGTAGAGGTGTGACCTTGGCATCCTGGCCAAATTTGCCCATTGGCCTCTGATCATCATGGCCTCCTAACAATCCCCATATCTGCTGATTGGCTTCATCACTCCGTCTCCTCTCCACCAATAAGCTGGTGTGTGGTGGGCGTTCTGGCACACTATGGCTGCCGTCGCATCATCCAGGTGGATGCTGCACACTGGTGGTGGATGAGGAGATAACCCCTGACAATGTAAAGCGCTTTGAGTGCCTAGAAAAGCGCTATATAAATGTAATGGATTATTATTTATTATTAGACCTTTCCAACTATATATATGTTGTCATGGTTAGATTAGGATTTAATTGTAATATAGTGAAGTAAACTTAGGCGTCCCACAGAGGGGACGGGTGACAGTTAAAGGGTTAAGACCTGCACAAATAAAATGAATACCATATGAGCGGGGTAGGGCAATGTCTATAGTACCATACTGTAAAAAACTGTAAAATTACTGTAAAAAGCATAATTTACAGTTCAGATACAAGTTTTCACAAAAACTTTAAAATTATAAACTTTACATTTCAGCCTTTAAACCATCTTTAAGAAAATGGATGAGTCAAAAGTATTAATTATTATATAATAATATAATATAATGTGATTGACAAAAAAATATATCATCATTTTCTGGGATTTTATCGATAACGATAATTAGACAATATTTTGCTGAGTGTGTTATTGTGCTGATATCTTATCTCTAATTGTGCTGACAGCTGACTCCTGAATATTTTTAATGTTCTTCATATTCTGTGAGGTCTATTCACAGCAGTGATAGAAATGAATAATTTCCAAAAAGTTCTATGGGCATTTTTACCTTTGAGTAATTTTTTTCTAAAAGTGTGCACCATCTTTTGAGTAAAATTCTTGCATTTGGGCTTTTACCAAGCAAATGTAATCAGTATCAACAAAATTTATCTTTGCAATGCAGAGGAAATACAGAAGATGCTTTAGAAGTGTCATTTAGATGCATTTACACACTGTTTAATGCAGCTCTGAGGGACATGGAATATTTAACCTGCAGTTACAAATGTATAAATCAGAGGTCGACCGATGTATCGGTTTTGCCGATTAATCGGCACCGATAGTTGATTTCTGGAACTATCGTTTATCAGCAAAACACCATGCCGATAGTTTTCCGGGTTGCGTCCGTTGCTGGAGCGGCTGAGAAGGTTCTGCTGTCATTATAAAGTGTGAGAGCAGCCTCTAGTGGTTGAAATCCCTGACAGCATGTGCTATTTGTTTAGACACTGCATGCTGAACATAGCAGGAAACTTCAGACGTGGATTTAAATGCAGCCGACAGAAAATCCTGCCACAGAGCGCCATTCACATAGTTTTCCATTAAATGACATTATATTTGATTGATGATGAATTAATGATTACCCGAATCATTGTTAATGTACATAATGAATTGTGTATTGTGCATTTTCAGCAAAATGTTTGTCTTTCTGTGGCTCTAATAAAGTCTGTATGCTTCATTTATAGAGCTATAATATAGATTGCGCTTTCTCTTTCCGTTTGCTCAAACTTACTTCAAACTCATCTATGCCTCATAGTTCATTCTTGAAGTAAACTTGTGTCCGTTTGGTGATTAAATAAACTGTTTTAGACCGCTGCTCGAGTTGAACGCGACCCATCAGGAGTGTGTGTGTGATACTGGTGAGTTCTCCTAGACTCAGCGCTGCGCTTTTATTTTGATTAGATAATCATCAAGTGTTCAAGAATAGAAGCAGTTCAAGTGTGAGAGTATACATACAATATCCATATGTATATAATTTTAATGCTATGGCCTTTGTGTATATTAATTATGTGCAACTTTAAGCATGATTGTTGAAATGAAATGGTAACACTTTAAAATAAGAGTCCATTTGCAACATTAAGATGAATGAAAGCTGTGTAAGTATTGTTCCTTGTTAGAGTTTGTTAATTTCAACATTTACTATTACTATTATTATTACTACTACTACTAGTATGGTTCAGTACTGTTTTTTTAATAAAGCATTATTTTAGTTTTTGTTCAGTATTCATTTGAAAAACTATTGGTTAATTAATCGGTAACGGCCAGCGTGGTCCAACCTAGCTATCGGTATCGGCAAAATCCACTATCGTTCAACTTCTAGCATAAATAATGTTTTGATATTTTAAACATTAAATAAATTTAAACATCAGTTTTCAATGTTTTAAAAATAAAAAGGTACCTTAAATGTGAAATTAAAACCACCAGTTGGTAGCAGCAAGTCACTATTAAGTGAGTCACTATTAAGTGAGTCATTGCGTTTGAACCGAATAATTTAAACGGGTGATTCATTCAAACAGTGTCCTGTTGCTCAGAGACGCAAAACAGCGCTGTGACTGTGTTTGGAATGATTTTTGTTGGAGAAATAGAGCAAGAACAGGAAATATGGTGTCTAAAATGCAAGTCTCTAAATATTAACTTCTTGTTTATTTTTTGGGATGTGGCTTTTAATGATGAGACCTTTTTTGTAATCAGGCTCTCAAAAAGTATATAACAATTTGGATATAGATTTATCGGCCAACATATCGGTTATCGGCTTTCAAAAATAAAGAATAATCGGTTATCGGTATCGGCCAAAATTTTCATATCGGTGCATCCCTAGAAAGAACGCACTCTAAATGCGCACGCGCACTAGTCTAACCTGAAAGACTTTATTATCTAATGTATGCGTGCACTCTCTTGGTGTTTTGTTTGCTTTTCGCGATATACTCAATATTATAAAAATCACACATCGTTAAAAAACTATTATGATATTATCGCAGACCATACATATCACAAACCCCTATACTGTTTAGATTTTCATAATGCATTGTCTTCTTATCGATCCACCAGTTCACATTTAAAGCTCTGCAGGGTAAAAACATGGGTCGATTTTCGCATTGGTCTGAACTCTACGGAAGTTCTAAGCGGTGCTTGAATTAATATGACTATTTTGTGTATTAAGTTCTTGCTAGATAGATGCATGAGTTTCACCAACGCGTTCGTTTCTTAGTTTTTAATTTCGGTCACTTTGATGTATTAATATATATATATATATATATATATATATATATATATATATATATATATATATACACACATTTATAAATGATAAATCCCTGAAACTTTCCATGAATGCAGTACATTGATCTTAAATTTAGTATTTTTAACACATTATAAAAAATCCCATGTTTCTATAAGGATAACTATCAAATGTTTGATCAACTACACAATTATCTAACATGCATATTATTGAAAAAAGTACCCAATTACAACAAATCTTAAATTGCTTGAAGCTTTATAACGTTCTGCATTCTGCATACCCCGGGGAGCAGAGCTCATTAGCATTTAAAGATTAATGAAGAATAAAGACCAACCTCCTTGTTCCTCCTGTTTTATTCTCCGGGGTTCTGGTTCCTCCTGTTTTATTCTCCCGGTTTCTGGTTCCTCGTGTTTTATTCTCCAGTTTTCTGGTTCCTCGTGTTTTATTCTCCAGGTTTCTGGTTCACTCGTGTTCTCTTCACTCTCCTCTTTAACAAACACCATCTTCACAGCAGCAGATCTCAGTTCAGATGATATTCCTCCAGATATTCCTGCTTGCTTCAAAACTTAGTCACGACTGTGAGGATGAGAATGTTACATGTATTTAATGACCCGATTCAAAAACAGTATTTTTTCCCCTACAGAAACAACATTTCTAACCGTTTGTATTAAGCAGCCTCACAACAAAACAACAGAGAGCGCAGTGAAACTAATCTTCTTCCTCTGAGGTTTAATGGTGTTTGGCAAAAAACATGTTTAGCGCCACCGGCTGGACTGGAGTGTGAAGCGGCGAGAGGAGGGAAATAATGCGGGGAAATTACTTAGTGCGTCTATAAGGTGCGCTGATTTTGTTTCTTAAAAAAAAGCCGATCTGCACAAATAAATGATGAATGCAAATTATAGCCTCGCATGGTATCTGATCCAACATCAACAGTCTTTGTGATTGAGGATTAGAGAAGAAAAATGAGTGAATTATTAGTGAAATATTTCAATAAAAAGTAGGTCTATGTGAGGAAAACATACGGAGTTCATTAAGAACTGAGCGATTTTATGTTTTTGTATGTTCGTGTAAATGATTGTTTCGATGTTTGCAGTGACAATGTTGATTGTGATCTGTGAGGGGAATGAATGCGAACCAAAAGTATTGCTGCTGTGATTTTATTGATACAATTATTTCTCTTTTGAGATTTTTCTTTGGCAGATCAAATCTGTTTGTGCAATAAAGTTAGTTTTAAATTATATTCCAAATAATGGCGTTGTTTAAGGGACCGTCTGCAAATTCCAGTTCAAAACCATAAACAACACCCAATCACTCTTTCAAATGAATGATTTTACATGGTTGTAGTAAATGCAAACTGACTTACTGAATGTGAGCTGCAACAATTGGAAAGTTAGTGTACTTGTATAAAGATGGGTAATTTAGGTAAATAGTTGAGCGTGGCACTTCACTGTGTTCATAAGAAGAGAGGTATTGGCAAAATGTCACCTGTATTAAATCAGTCGGGACACTACATTGTTAAAAATTTCCTGTAGAAATTACAGTAACTTAATGGCAGCAGTTCACTAGTAACTTACTGTAAATTAAACACAGTAAAATTACTGTATTAATAATTACAGTACCATTTAACTTGCTGTAAATGTGTTTACAGTATGTATACTGTACTTTGTCATTTTATGGTCTTTTCTTCAGTAACATTGAAATACAAGAAAAATAATTTAAATGAAAATAAGCAATGACAACTGTGTAACTTAAAAAAAAATAATTTGTAATCCTTGCAGTAATATTTTAATATTTTCACAGATTCAGTTAAGACTCAAACAAAACATTGTTACAAACTATTATATATATATACTACATACCATTCTAACTATTATAGTTACAATTCTTAAAATTTATCCTAAGCACAACATACTATGATAATAGTGAATAGTGACGATAGTGAATCTTCAAAAATAACTCAAACTTTTGTTACACACAAGAAGCATGGACAATTTTTTTTCAAAGCTGCCAGTTGAAATCCCACATGAGGGTTCAGGCCAGAGTTTCTCCTTTGCACCATCTTCCCACTTCTTTTGCTGATCTGGAATTTTGCAGAGCACTTGCTGTTGACAGGATTGATCCTCACAATGAACCTTAACATAAAAGATATAATTCATTAGACCATTTCATTTTCTTTGTAAAGACTTTTTAAAGCATTAGTTCAGCCTAAATGAAAATCTTATGTTGTTAAAAACCCATAAAACTCTGATTCATTTTCAGAACACAAATGAAAATTTATATTCTCTCTTAATTGTTGTCTATCCAGGCAACTAAATTATTTTAGCTTCAAAAGGTGCATAAAGAAATTGTTAAAATAATCCATATGATTCGAGTGGTTTAAGACACCTAATTGGTTCTCAAGCATGTTTGAGATTCTGTTTACTACATTTGATGTACTCTATGTATTTGGATGATTAATGTTTGCATGTGAATAAAAGCTTTAGGATACATTTTCTGTCTTTATGCACTTTTTGAACTGGAATATTTTGGTTGAGTGTACTTTCAGTGGATGGACAAAAATTTGATTATTTAAAATATCTTCATTTGTGTTCCAAAGATGAACGAAAGTCTTGCGTGTTTGTAACAACATGAGAGTGAGTAAATGACAACAGAAGTTTCAGTTTTGAGGGAACTATCCCTTTAACTGTATTACGATATGAAAACTTAGAAAAATATCTTAAGGAGAAAAAAGACATCTAAACATTTTTTTTTCTTCATTCAATGTAAATATATGAAAAATAGATATACCGATATTGGGTAATACGTTATATCACAATAACAAACATGCATGGTATTTTTATAGTGGGCACTTCAAAATTACTGTGAATAACTATTACAAATGTAGATTTTTAGAATACATTTTAAGAATACTTTTCCATAAACTGGTTAAAATTTCAAACACTACCCCTATCAACTGGTCTATCTCACCAATCTATTTACCGGTCTACTATAAGGATAACTAATGAGTCTTTATTGTAAAGTGTTACCTATTGTTCTTTATAATTCTTTTGCACTTTAATCTGTTTTTTACGTTTAATGTTTATAAAATGTTTACTTATGTTAATTTCTTTTTGTTTATTGTTTTTTTAATTTAAATGATCAGTTATTGTTGTTATAAAAAATTAAGTGAACATGTTATAGAAGGAAACCACTTTTTTGTAACTTATTTCAATACCATAATGAAAGGTGAAATAAATGTGAAATAATGTGAAATAAAAACGAACAGTCTTTAATTTTCCTTTTGTTACATGGTATGAAAAAAGTCTAGGCTTTGACATGACACTTTGTCATAAAATACTTCATTTATTAAATCATAAGAATGATAAGTTCCACTTAATTGATATAAATAAAATTTACTCTGTAACTGTCTGTTATGAATTCATTAGAAGAATAAACAGAATAGTACACAGTTCATTTTATTTTAACTCAAATTGTCAGTTGTCATTACCGCATGCCAAGAAGGCACGACAGTAACAGACAGACACTCAACCCAAAAATGTAAATTCTCTCAACATTTACTCACCCTCATGTCATCCCAGATGTGTATGTCTTTTTTCTGTGGAACAAATAGTTTTAGGGGTGGGGGAAAAGTCATCTGAATCAAAGGGATAGGCAAATTTTAAAACGTTGTGTAGTGCTTTTTTGACTGTGATAGAGACAGCGCCCTGAGTTCAAGTTAAATAAATTATTTACCGTTAAATGGTATTCACCTCAGGTTTCCTATCTTCTATTAAAATAAGCTATAGTTAAAGTAATACTATTTTAATCAATTGCAGCTAATATCTAGTAATAAATAAAGTATGTTAGTAACCTCTATACAAGAGAACCAAAGTGAATCACTCAGAGATGTTAGAAACTCAAGATAGAATGTATTCCGAGTCAGATAAAATAAACAATAAAATAAGATACAAAAAAATTTTTCAGTTCACTCAAATTTGTGTTTCAAATCCCTGTAACAAATAAACACTACTTTCCACAGACTTGTGTACCAAATTCTTCAAATAACAGTGAAACCCATAGTCATCATAATAATTTCAAACTCGTTGGGGCCCATAAATGGAGATCCGTTCAGTTCAGTCAAAAACAATAAACAAACTGTACCTCCCGGTAACTCAAACCAATTAACTGCCGTTCCGGAGATGATGAGGGGAGCAACAACGTTCAGCAAACCAGAGCGATGATAGTGAAACAGTCACGTCGATCTGGATAAACGGGTTTCCTCAGGCGCAAAAACCGATGACTCCCAAACAATGTACAGGAAAATCCCTCACTGTCAGCTGAACTCTGAGTGTTGCCTACCCTTACCAAAAAGTAGTATACTTCAAGTTTATTTTAGGAAGTATACTTAAGTAAAGTTCAAGTATATTTTTAAGTATACTTTATGTAGTAAGTATACAAATATCAGTGTACTAGTAGTGTAAGCGGCCAAGTCTAATACTTTAAGCAGCTGAGGGATGCTGGACGGTGCTTGTAAATGGACGCGCATGCTTGGATTACTATTAAGTGGAATGTCCACACTAGATGTAAAAATGCTCATTGTTGTAGATTTATTTTACCGTTAGGTCTTCATTTCCATGTCGGCAAGAATCCAAACAAACAGTCAACATATCCACCTATCCTTCACCTTTACAACGACTTGCATAGCGTGGTACAAACAGCCTAGCATAGCGGTCAAAAAAACTGTGTGCACCTTCTTCTTCTTCTTCTTCTTCTTCTTCTTAATGTTTAACGGCGGTTGGCATCCAGCGTAATTGGTGCATTACCGCCACCATCTGCTCATAAACTTCTTTTTCGTAAGGGTAGCACCTCAGAGCACTGTCCGATGTCTTCACTGTTTCCTTGTGGTGTCCTCGTTTGTCAGCAAATAGATTGACATTTTCTGCGCAACACTCTGCCATGAGCATTCACTGGGTTAGATCATGCTAACAGAGTATCTTAACGCATGAGCTGCGTTGTCCACACGAACTCTCAAAGTAGGGAGAAATTCCAGAAACTTTGATTTAAAGTCCCTTTTCACTCTTTTACATTATACATTAGTTATTCGGCTTTCGATTTGAAAACCACTAATCTATAATTACAGCACACAAATCTGTTTGTTCAATATACAATAAACCAGCTTACGCTGTCACGTTCTTTCTCACACCCCCTCTTCCTTCTCTTTCTTCTAGCTCCTCCCCTTCACCTCTGCCCGGCACATCCAATTGACCACGAACAAGGTAAGAAATATAAATAAAACAAACTAAACACATTTAAACTTAATGAATGAAGGTTTTAACATACAATACCCATTATAAGTGTTCGTGTCTTTTGTTCTAGCACATGGCTTGTGATTTGTTTTGCTAGCCATGTGCTTGTGTTTTGTTTTGTGTGAGCACATGGCTTTTTGTCTTTGATTCGGTGTGCCATGTGCTCATGTCAATTGTCTTGACCCCTCCCATCTTGTTACCTGATTATTAGTTAATTTGCCCCACATGTGGTCCCTCGTTACCCTCCTCATTTGCTCTCCATTTATTCTCCTTGTGTTTGCAGTCCTGCGTCGGTTCGTCATCATCTCTCCCTGGATGTGTCGTGTCGTGTCCAGATCCTGCCTTGCCTTGCCTTGCCTTGCCAGCCTGTTTTTCCCCCATGGAGTAGTTTTTGTTGCTGTTTCTGCCGGCCCCGCCCAAGCTCCTTGCCCTGCCCAGGCTCCTTGCCCTGCCGGCCCCGCCCAAGCACCTTGCCCTGATGCCGGCTCCCTCCTTGATACGGGCTCCACCCATCCTGCCTGCCAAGCTCCCTCCGGCTCCGCCCTGGTGGTCCGCCGGAGGTCTTGTTAAGCCGGAACCTCTCTGGTCCGTCACTCTGGCTCCGCCCTGGTGGCCTACTGGGGTTCTTGTTAAGCCGGAGCCTCCCTGGTCTTTTCTTCACCTAAATTCCAGGAGGTCGTAAATGTATCGGGTGTCAGGGTTTCCATGGAACCAGGGGCCTGTTCGGTTCCTGGGGTGTTACAGAGTATTTGTTAAATCTAGCTAACAAAATATATATTGTGTGTTTGAGTGGTCCAGACGCGACAACAAATATGCAATGAATAAAGAAATTGAAACCACAATAAAGAAATTGAACACATCTTTCCATTGGGTTACAATTTCTTCTGAGCAAGTGTCCTACATGTGTTTGTTTGACGTAAATGTCAGCACGTTGTGAAGCATGATATACAGGTGCTTCTCAATAAATAAATACAAAAAATACAAAAAATAAATGTATTTCAGTAATTCAACTCAAATTGTGAAACTTGTGTATTAAATAAATTCAATGTACACAGACTGAAGTAGTTTAAGTCTCTGGTTCTTTTAATTGGGATGATTTTGGCTCACATTTAACAAAAACCCACCAATTCACTATCTCAACAAATTAGAATACTTCGTAAAACCAATAAAAAATTTTTTTTGTGAATTGTTAGCCTTCTGGAAAGTATGTTCATTTACTGTACATGTACGTGTTAAAAAACTTCACTGTTCAAAAACGGTCTTCAATTCCCAATCATAGAAACATGTCAAGGAAAGAGGAAGCAGTACAAGGTAACACCAAAACAAAAAAATTTCAAGAATACCAATGTTCCACTTAAAACAATGAGATTTAAAACAACAATGCTCTTACACTTTAAACCAGTCCATCGATTAAAGAGTATCAAGAAGGGAACATTTTTTGTTTGTTTGTTTTCTGTCTTACCGCAGCCACTTGCTCGTGAAGGAGTGAACTCTTACGGTGCAAGAGTCTGACCCGACTCCAATAAACAGACGCTGTATCACTTCAAATGTGAATTTAGGTGATCAGTTTGTGGCACTGCTGAGGTGGTATGGAAGCCCATGTTTCTTTGACAGTGGCCTTCAGCTCATCTGCATTTTTTGGTCTCTTGTTTCTCATTTTCCTCTTGACAATACCCCATAGATTCTCTATGGGGTTCAGGTCTGGTGAGTTTGGTAGCCAGTCAGGCACACCAACACCATGGTTATTTAACCAACTTTTGGTGCTTTTGGCAGTGTGGGCAGGTGCCAAATCCTTATGGAAAATTATATCAGCATCTTCAAAAAGCTGGTCAGCAGAAGGAAGCATGAAGTGCTCCAAA